CAGTGTTGGAGAGCCCGCCAAGGCCATTGTTGCCATTCGACATCGAGTTGCCCATACCGTTGAGCATCGGCTGGTTCATCGTGCTACCAGGCGCATTGCCGTTCTGGCTCACACCGCCTTGTTGGTTGTTCATGCCGTTGCCAGCGGGCACCGAAGACGCGGGCGACGGAAGCGGCGTCGAGGCCATCGGCGTTGGCACCGACGGCATCGGCGTCGGAACGCCACCGTTGGTGTTGCCCCCGCCAATGTTGCCGCCGTTGGCGTTGCCCCCGCCAATGGCACCACCGCCCGTGGCAAAGCCGTTGACGCCGCAGCCGGTGCAGCCCGGCAGAAAGTTGGCGACGCACGTCGAAGCGCACTCGGGTGCTGGCGCGGCCATGGCCGCCGAGAGGAAAACGAGCGCGAGAATCTGGACCATTGTAGAGGAGGAAGAGGAGGTTGTGGTGAAGCGCAAAAGCAAATCTGAGGGTTGGAGGCGCTCGGGATGCTGCATCGATGCAAGGACAGGACAGTCCGTTTGATGGTTGTGACGTCGCTCGCTCGCGGCCATTTTATGCGCGCTGAGAGGATGGTCAAAGGACTGTCGGTCTCTCCTGTCAAAAGAAGACGGCAACCTGTCAAGGTACGATACAGAATCTAGCCACTGGCGTGCCGTACAGTGGCTAGATTCTGTATCGTTGGGAATGTGGTTCTCGCACCTCGCAACCTCACACCCTTTGCAACCAAACAGTAGCTTCGGATAGAGCGCTGGTGAGCTGGCACTTGCCCTCGCTACTTATCGTAGAAAGTAGCAAAGTACCCACGTCCGCCCCACTGGGTGAAGAGAATGGCGATGCTGTATTAAACGCATTTCGGTTGCCCGATCGCCTGCGGTATATGCATAAAACGTGCTGCGTTTTTCTAAAGGAGCGTGCAACTAGTCGCTCCACCATCATTCTGCTTTGCCAGCATGTGGAAGAACCTCGCGTACGGGCAGCCGACGGTCTCGGCGCCGGTTGCTGCGCCCGTGACGGTGGCGGGCACGGACGTCCCGACCGCAGGTACCTCATGCGCATGCAGCTGTGGTGTAAGATGCTCCGTCGCTGCCTTGTAGACGTCCCGACGACGGTGGTCGGGCGGCTCCACAACATCCTCACGTACCTCAACTCGATCAAGGACCACCAGCCCGTGACGATCCAAGACATCTACCAGCACACGGGCATCGACCTCACGATCGACGAGGTCGCGGACCGATTGCGCAACAACCCAAAGGTCCGCGTCGCCAACGACACGTTTGCATACAAGGCCAAGTACGACATCAAGGACAAGGACCAGCTGCAGCACGTCCTCAAGCGCGTGAACGAAGGCATTCCATCGTCGGACCTCAAGGACTGCTACAACGGCGTCGAGGACGACCTCCGCGAGCTCTCGCGCGCCGGCCACATCATCTGCATCAAGAACACGGAGACAGGCACCGAGGTGTACTACGCGCGTGGCTTTTCCTTCTTCACGCAGGTCGGCGCGCTCGCGACCGTTGAGGGCGGCAGCTACGTCACGACCGTCAACCACGACGTGACGCCCGAGCTCCGTCGCGGCGACGCCGTCCGCGTCGGCGACCACTGGTTCCGCGTCTCGAACGCTGAGAAAAAGGTCATCATTGCCTGTCGGTCCAATCTCACCGTCGCGTGCGCGTAGGGTCCGATGGGCAACCCGCCGCAGCCGTTCACATCGATCCACCCGACCGTGACGAACAAGAGCGTCTCGTCCATGGTGGACCTCAACCTCACGAGCAAGAAAACCAAGTACATGCTCACGTTTGACGCGCACCATTTGCCGCTGGACATGCCGTTCCCAGACCACCGCCATGGCCACATGCACCACCCAAAATGGGACTTGGCGCCCAAGTTTGGCAAAGGCGCTGGGACCGTCGCGCTTCTCAAGCACGGGTGCACGAACGACATTCGCGACCTATGGCGCGACACGCTCCGCGACTGGCCCACCGACCGCGCGGCGTTGGAGCGCAAGCTCGTGCAGAGCGGCCTCACGACGCAGGCCAACATTGACGCCAACCGCGCCAAGCGCAAGCTGCACATCAAGAGCAAGGCCAAGGTCGCGCGCGTCAAGAAGCAGCGCGACATCAAGATCACCAACACGCACTTGATTGGCACCGAGCTCGGCCAGGTACTGGCCAAAGGCAGTGAGGGCTCCAACGACTTTACGCTCGGCGCTGTCAAGTTTGACCGCCAGTAAGCGACCAACGCGGACGTTGACCGTGGCTTGTGTGTATTGCCATTGTCCTTGATGGCCAAGGTACAGAAGACCATGAGACGACGTCTCGCAGCCAAGGCCAAAGTAAGATTGATGGCCATAGTGCTACGGAACACGACGAAAAATTGACATTGTATGGATGGAGGAGAGAAGCGTGAGTGGAGGCTTGTTTGCGTACGAGTGATACAAAAGGCGTGATTGGTTATATTAGTACAGTAGAGTCACCGCTGCGTCTAGTCACGACCGCGCGGGCTCGAGGGGCCGTTCATGTAGCCGCCATTCGAGTTGCTAAAGCCGTTCGAGTTGCCAAAGCCGTTCCAGTTGCCAAAGCCGTTCGAGTTGCCAAAGCCGTTCGAGTTGCCCAGCCCGTTGTTAGTGTTGACGCCCCCCGAGAAGCCCCCCATGTTCCCAGCGTTAGCAAGACCCGTAAGCATCGGCTGGTTCAGCATCATGCCTGGTGCATTACCCTGGCCACCGCCTTGCACACCGTTGGTGGCGGGCACGGACGGAGCAGGATGCGGCACTGAGGCCATTGGTGTCGGCACCGACGGCACTGGTGTCGGCACCGACGGCATCGGCGTTGGCACCGAAGGCATCGGCGTTGGGACGTCGTTGCCGCCAACGTTGTTGAAGTTGTTGCCACCGCTTTCGGTGACGCCGCCGCAGCCCGCGCAGGCGGGAAGCGAGCTAAAGAGGCACTTAGAGCCGCATTCCGTAGGCGGGGACGCCGCGGCGATGGCTGTCGACATAAGAGCGAGCGAGAGGAGCTGGATCATGGTGTAGAAGGAAGTGCGGAGGATGAAGCGCATGCGAATCTGAGGGTTTGAACGCAGTGCCAAGTTGATGGTCGTAGGTGTGATGGCTAAGAGAACGTCTCTGGCCAGTTTATATTCATTCGTCACCCGCTCACTCTTTTGGTAGATGGGTGGTCACGGCCACACCGATGCTCGATCTCAGTCAGTTTGCTGACATTCAGACGACTCCTTGTTGCTCGTCAAGTCAACCACGAAAGATGACCAGACTCAGTTTGTCTGTATTGCAGGATTCTCTCAAGTCGAGCTAGCACTTACCCAAATGAAATTTGGCTGTGGCCACCAGGGGGACGTGAGATGCGTGTACTCGAGTGGCCAAAGTTGCCAGTCCCACCCCAGAGCTGCGGCGCGGGCTTGGCGTTATTGTCGTATGTGCGGCTCGGATCGTCAAGCGATTGCTGTAGCTTGGGCACGTACTGGTGCGTCTCCTACAGTCCATCGTGAGCTAGCGTCAACGCGACTCTCAGAACCACGTGGGGGATCGAGTGCATGGCCATGGAGGCACCTGCCGAGCCAAGGGCACTGCGGCTCGAGCTCGACACGGGGCGCTACCACCAGCGTTCACTGAGCCGACGAAGCAAGAAGACGAGCTCCTACAGAGTGCACAGAAGAGCTACTCGACACCGGACGGTCCTAACCACAGAGATGAGATACGAGGCAGTCAACTGGAGTCAAAGACCATCTCGGGCATGGGACTCGCCGACGGAGGACGCGTCTACGTCAGTGAACATATTGGTTTATCGCATGCGATGGTTGTAGTCTACAGCGTAGTAATAGTCGCTGGGGCTGCTAAAGTTGTTGTTGCCACCGGCGTCCACAGGCCTACAGACAGTCGAATTTGATGTTTAGCGTCATCCGCATGTCTTGTACTGGTGCTTGACTGCCTCGCCGTACGCTGGGTAGCTGTAGCCTTCGCTGCCCTGCGAGTACGCACCGTACGACGGCTGGTACTCGCCTGGTGACGTCTGCCCGTAGCTTGGATCATAGCCGTAGCTGCCATACCCCTGTGGCTCTATTGGCGCGTAGCTGCCGTAGCCATTTTCCGACGCTGGCGGCTGGTAGCTCGTCGAGACAACCTCGTAATTCTCGGCGGGCTCAGCACGCCGGCTACACTTGCATCGCCCGTGGTGCTAGTGAAGAGCTGAATACCGGTGGTGGCCTTGGCCCATCGAGTGAAACCCGCTGCCTTGGTTGATCTGCATCGTCTGCGACGTTGGCGGCGGCGGCTGCTCGTACGGGTTGTTATACCGGCCTTGGCCTTCGTGGGTGAAGGGGTTGAACGAGCTCTGGCCGCCACCGTAGCTTCGGCCGCGGGCTTCGGGCGGTGGCTGGGACGACGATGGCATTGACTGCAAGGTCCTACGCGCCTCCTGAGATCGAGTGCAGCAACGTGAACTTGGCCCACTCGTTGGCGTAGGCGCTGTGGCCATAGAGGTTGGCACCGCTACGCGTACATGAACCATGAGCGTCGTCCACTGAAGTCGAGAGCGTACTTGCGCTGGTTCTGCCCATACATATTGCCGCGGCTAAAGCAGCCTTCGCATGAAGAGACAGAGGGCAGCTCCTGCGTCGTACCCTGCCATAGTGTCAAGTTGCGAGACCGTTATAGCCGCGGGTTGATAATAGCCTGCAACGGTCCCCCATATTTCAATATTTGAACTGCAAATGCGAGCGAATTGCGAGTTGCTCGACGCTAGTCCCGTAACGTGCACAATAATGTCCTTAGGTGTGTCACCTATCCCAATGAAACGAATCAATGTGTCATTTGAACGTGCTGCTTTTGATCGAAAAACGTTAATCGTCCAAGAACGGAATGTTGAGCTGGTCGCTGAGCGGCAGCAAGAGCGGGCCGAGCGACGTGCGTTCGGCGGGCGGGAGCTTGAGCCGCATGCGGTCCACATGCTCCCACTTTTCGCCCATTTTCGCTTTGATGCGCTCGAGCTTGAGCCGCGCTTCGGGCGACCCGTCCGAGGCGACCTTCTCCTTGAAGCTGAGGTAGTGACGCAGGAGCTCGTTCACGTCGTGGAAGAGGTTGGTCAACAACGTCTTGAAGTCGCTACATCAAAGGAAACCCTTCAACCCTACCCCTTGCAAAAATCGAAAAAATAAAAACGCACTTTGGGATGAACCGCGCGTGCTGCTCGGAGCGCGGGTTGGTCACGGCCTCGCTCGATGCACTCTGCGTGCTCTCGGCAAGGATCTCGGCCGTAATGTTTGCGACCGAGCCTACGTATTGTCATATTTCAAAAATTTCCAAAAATTAATTGTCCAAAGCACAAGGTACCTTTGGGAAACGCGGCCGTCAAGTTGGGCTGCGCGCTCAGCATGCGCTCGAACGCGCGCTGGGCCGGCTCGAGTTGCTGCATGAACGACCGGTGCACGAGCGAGTGCTCCTATCGACGCCTCAGACTTGGGAAACATTTCGAGTTGGTACGGACATCATGCTCAAAATATCGCGCCGTGTTGTCGAGGCTCAGCGGAATGTACGGCGCGGGAGCTGGCGCCTGGAGGTCGTCGATCACAATGGCTTCGGCGAGGTCAGCCTTCTTCGCAGCCAATGGCTTCTTCTTCTTGGGCTGGATGGCCGCGGAGGCGTTGAGGACGTCGGCAGCGTGGCGGTTGAACTTGGCAATGTTCGTGTCCGTAATATCGGGCGGCGCAATATTAGCCTTGACAATATTGTCTTGGGCGGTCGCCGTCAGGTCCACGAGTGGGTCCACGAGCCCTTGGACGGCCGGCGTCGTCTGCGTCTTCTGCCATTTCTCCTCGTAAATGGTAAAGAGGTCCTCGACGCCGCTCTGCTGGTGCTTGAGCCGGTCGCGGTGCGCGTACTTGCTCTTGACAAACATGGTCCAGAACTCGACGCCGTCCATCTTGTCGGGCACCTGCTCTTGGTACGCCATGTACACGACGGGGTATTGCACAAAGATCTGGTGGATGATCTCCGGGTTCAAATTGTACTTGACGGCTTGCTCGCCGCTTTGGTTCTGGCCTTGAACGTCCGTGAGGATCTCGGACGTCTTGCCCGTCTTCTGCCGCTTCTCGGCCTCGGTCATGAGCAGCTGCTTCCGGCACGTCAAGTTCCAAAAATCGCTCTCCGAGATGAGGCCGCCCGTGACCATGTCCGTGTGCTGCCGCTTGAGCGTGTTGGGGTGCGCGGCCAAGAGCGCTGCGCGCTGCTTGCGCTCTGTCTCCGACATGACTAGAAGATAGGTTTGAATATACGAAGGCGACAAGCGAGATGCACCTTCTTGCTTGGACGCCGGCGTCGCCGACGACTGCACGAGGCGCTGGCCGAGCTGCGTCTTGAAGAGCTGCAGATCGTCGTCGCCGCTGAATTCAAAGACATACGTGATGGGCGGCGACTGGCGCAGTCGCAGTCGCATCATGTACCGGACCCGCGCCGCCGACGCCGCGTTGACCTGGAGGTCCTGGATGTCCTGGAGCAGGATCGCACGCAGCTGCTTGGCGCCCGAGCGCAGGGACAGCCCCAAGTGCGTGAGCACGAGCTCGCATGTGCCTTCTGAGTTGCGGCTCTTATCGTTGTGTTGCTCTCGGTACCGGACCTCGGCCGCGCAGACGACGTCGCCAGCCATCGTGACCCCTGGTTTTGGAAGCGGCGACTATTTGTGTATTTGTGGCACGTATATGTGGCACGAGGTGGTTGCATTCGGCAGCACTGTTTTTTTTACTTTGGCATGTGCCATATGCAAACTCATATTGCGTTCTTCCAGTCCACTAGTATCTCTATCACGTTGAAACACGCAACTATGATATGCTCGCACACCACAGTGGGTCGGCTGCTGGGCACAGCTGGACTCTCGAGCCTTTCTTCAATGATACGAGAGTCAAAGCTCGCTCGAGCTGCCAACTGAGTGCCATTTCAGGTTTTGCTGGTGCTACCACAGCATGGTGACCTCGCCGTCGCGCCCGCTCGGCGTCTCGCTGCGCTACTTCCACCACCTCATCGAGGCCTGCGGCGGTCGCAAGAAGCTCAACGGTCTCACCACGGCCCAAGTCTGCTTCGACTATATTGTGCCATTGACCAAGTCGACCGAGCTCTCGCTCGTCGACCATCTTGCCAGTGATGCGTCCATGCGCCACTTTGTGTCCGAGGCCAACTGGTATGTCTCGCACGCCTGGCAGTACCTCTTCTTGGAGACCGTCGACAGCCTCGACACCTTCTTCACCGACCAAGGCTTGGCAGACGACGCCGTCCTTTGGTTTTGCGTCTTCAACAACAACCAACACCTCGCGCATTCGTACCCGTTCGAGTACTGGTCGTCGACGTTCAAGACGCAGCTCGCAGCCATCGGCAACGTCGTCATGATCATGCACCCGTGGAACGACCCGGTCGTCTTGCGTCGGAGCTGGTGCGTCTTTGAGGTCTACGTCGCTGTGACCATGAAGGCGCGGTTCGAGATGGCCATGGCACCCGGTCAACTGGGGCTCCTCGTTCACGATATGCTTCGTCCCGCTGCTCTTGAGGATATGTTGGGGACGATCAAGAGCGAGGCGTCCGAGACCACCGTGCCAAGTGATCGCGACGGCATCTTTGAGCTCATTCGCGCCGAGACGTCGTTCACGGCCGTCGATCGGCTCATCTTTTCGACTATTTCGGACTGGATGGAGCGGACGCTGACGGCGCAGATCGCATCGGGTCTCTTGCCACTAGACGAAGCCTACCGGTATCTGTGTCTGGCCACCATTCACGGGACACGAAGCTCCAGTGCGGATGTCTTTATAGCTGCAAGTCGTGCCCGCACCCTCTTTGCGTCGCTTGACATCCAAGTGACCGACAATATTCACCTTGTCCGCGTCATGACGTACCTGGGTCGGTCGTCCCATCAAGTCGGCGAGCCAGAGACCACGTGGCGCACGATCTTCAACGACCTCTTGGCCATCGACGGTCTCGATGCCATGACCTTGTGTCACGTCCGCAACGCGTACGCCCACGCACTGAACGGGGTCAAGTACTTTGTTGAGGCCCGTGCTCTCTCCTTAGAGACGTACGCCATGGCGCTGACGGACCTCGGAGCTGTTCACAAGTCGACGATAGCGACCATGTCGACCCTCGGCTTGTCCAGCTACAAGCTCTTCGACTACGACCAAGCAATAGATTGGTTCCGCAAGTGCTTGGAAGCCCAGCTCTCGCTGCTCGGATCGGACCACCCGAGCACGGTGTACACGCGCGACTACCTCGCAATGATCTGCTTCAAGCGCGGCCAGCTCGTCGAGGCCAAGACGCTGTTTGAGGAGACGAGCGATGTGCAGGAGCGCATGTATGGCCCATTGCACAACAGCACGATGGTTGCATCATTCAACCTCGGTTTGACATACCGCTTCCTTGGCGACTACGCAGCGGCCGAGGCGCTCTGGCTCCCCATCTGGGACCGGTTCCAAAAGAGTCCACCAGCGCCAGGGCAGTACATCCACTTGCTCTTTCTGCTTGCGCAGCTCTACTGGTCCAAGGGCGACTACGACCTCGGGAAGCAGTACATGCTCGACACCTTGGCGTGGTGTCTCACGCATTTGCCACCGGGCGACGCCGACACGAGCCAAGGGGCGTCGGCGTTCTACCGGTTCCTCCTCGACCCGACCTTTGCGGCGCACAACCCCGCAAGTGACGAGGCGTGGGCCAAGATCGTCGCCTTCTTCGCCAAGAACGAGCTCGAGACGGAAGTGTGGCTCGACGAAACCTGCTTTGGCTGCAGCCAGCCGATGCAAGGGCTTTGGTTCGAGTGTTCCACTTGTCCCGCCTTTGCCTACCATTTTTGCGCCAACTGCCTTCGTCAAGGCAAGTCGACGACGTTCTGCGACCACGCCACCTGCAGCTTCAAGTGCTATGTGCCACCACGCCGGTACCTTCTCGAGCAAGCGCTGGTCGCCAGTGTGACGGATCAAGCGACAGCGACCTTGTGGCGCGACTACCAGACGTACTGCACTGCCAACAAGGTTCCGGGCGACGAGCAAGCGGCCTTTGCCAGCTACGAGCCGATCGCAACGCGCACCTGGCACCCGATGCTCTAGTCTAGCTTCCTAGTCCATTTTTGTAGCCCATAGCAATTCACTTTTTTTGTATTCGGTGTTGATGTGGACATTATGTCTACCTCGATTATGACAACTGTTATTAGCCTACCACGCGACGAGGGTCATCAAATTACATTGCATTAGCTTAGGTTATTACGGGTGGTGGTCGTCGTCCTCTTCGGACGTCCACAGCGTCAGGTTGTCGCGAATGATCTGCAGAATCATGGCTGCGTCCCGGAAGCTCTCCTCCGTGAGCGAGTCCATGTCCGCGATCGCGTCGTCGAAGGCCTGCTTGGCGAGCTGGCACGCGCGGTCCGGCAGCTTCATGATCTCGCAGTAGAAGACGGCAAAGTTGAGCGCAAGGCCGAGGCGGAGCGGGTTGGTCGAGTGCAGCTTGGACGTCGCAATGTCGGTCGCTTGGCCGTAGCAGGCCAGCGCCTTCTCGCACGCGCCCTGCTCCTTGGACTGGAACTCGGCCAAATACCGGTAGTAGTCGCCCTGCGTCTTGAGGTAGAAGACGCTGTCTTCGGGCGACGACGCCGACGGCAGCAGCTGCTTGTTGAGCATCTCGAGCATCTCGTCGCACGTCGCTTGGAGCTCGGCTTCGATCTTGAGGCGGTACTTCTGGACGTGCTCGACGCGCTCGCTCTTGCGGTGCGTCTCGATGGCCTGGAGCACACGCCACGCGGCCCGGCGGCTGCCAATGACGTTCTTGTACGCGACAGCGAGGAGGTTGCGCTCCTCGAGGTCGAGCGGCGTCGGGTCCGAGGTCACGACGGTCTTCATGTAGTCGGCCATCTCGTCGTAGCGCTCGGCCTGCTCGGCGAGCTGCGCGAGGAAGACGAGCGAGGACCGGTCGAGGCTGGCTGGCATGGCGGAGAAACTTGCAAAATGAGCCAGCGACTCCGTGACTTACTCGCTGACGCCAGCACGCGCCACCTCACTTCGCCCACCCAACCAGTGCACCGCCTGTCTCGGTGTTACGTGTTATAACACACAAAGGGCAAGCTCACAGTTTCAAATAATGCGTTGCATATTCCGACGTTTGCGTCCCATCTCGCATCCGAAGTTGTGGACAAAGGCGGCAATGAAGCTCGGCTTTTGTCGTGGTGCAGGTCCAAGGAACGACGGTGCGACCACACGCCGCAAGGGGCTGCACTCTGGTCGTCGTCGCCGCGAAAATGAATTTCCGCCGGTGACGAGCCCCGTCCGGTGGGATTAGGGGTGAATATTATGTACTCTGGATGGGACGTTGTGTCCCACGTACACATCTATGCTTATGTCGGTCGAAACACTGGCGTTGCGATGTCGGTGCTTGCCGACGTGTATAGTCCGTGTGTTTGCATTTCGAAGGCGATTTTTTAAAATTTGCCACATTGCACTTGCCACAAGGGTGTTAGGTCTTGTTATAACATCTGAGTGCGGCCGATCAGCTGCGTGGTGGCGTGGAATTGGCGTCGTATGCACCGCGTCCAAGCTGAGCTTTCCGTCGATTGGGTACCTTTACGCCACCTCTTGTACAGTGAGGCGACAACGAGGATATGTGGGCATCCTTGCGCCAAAGACAGACGCATCTTGTCCCAGAGAAACCGAGCACCTTGAACTTGGTGAGCAGATCCACTCTTCTTGCCTCGTACACGGTAGCCGCCCAAGCCAGCACCGACACCTACCGCCAGCTCCTACCGCCGGCCTCGGCGCCAGCCTCGTCGCCGACGAGCCTCACTTCTGCGACGATAGCAGCACGCAACTGAAGACATGCCGTTGCTGTGCCTGTGAGCAACACCGTTTGATGCACGAGAATGTAGGTATTTGGATCGCTTCCGCTCGCGCCAGAGTCGTTTCTTCCGCGTCGGTCCACCATGTGCGGTGGCCGCCCTTTACGGCGCTGCCGTGCTCGCTGCTAGACGCCGCCACCGCGCGCCAATTTGTCGTCGCCAACGCCGAGGGCCACGCATGCACACGGACGACTAGACTATGCTGGTATTGGTACTGCTTAGAATCAAATCGAGAATGTCGAGCTCGACGTCGTCTAATGGCTGATGGTCCTCGGACGACTCGTAGCCGAGCTCGAGCGGGAAGAAGGGTACAAAGCCGTGGTCGCGCTTGGTATAAATGGGCGCGTTGGTCGCGATCGCGCGTGCGACGCACTCGGCCTCGAGACCGTCGACGGCGGCGCGGAGCTCCCCAACGTGGCTGTCGTCCATGGTAGTGCGCTTGACACGGACAAGGTCCTGCGGGCGGTCGCGGTGCACGAACGGATGGGCAAAGATGTAGCCAAACCCGCGCTTCGCGTTCATGGTTTCATCGCACGGCAGGCCGTAGAGCTTGGACTTGGAGAAGCCGTAGACGCGCAGCTGCCGCGCAAAGCTCGTAAAGCTAGTGTGCCCGTAGTGCGACGGTAGGAACTCCTTCTCGAGCGGCGTGACGCCCTGGACGACGATCTTGCTGCCGTCCGCGGACCATCCGATGACGTGGTCGGGCGCGGCCGCCACGAGGGCGATGAGCTTCGAGACAAAGCTACTCGCTGTCGTCGTCGACTTGGGCATCGGGCGCAAATATTTCTTGGGTTGTTTGGCGATCGACATCCGGATATGGCGTTGGCTTCCGGACAGTCTCCGGCTTGTGCAACGATCCCGCCAATGGGAACGCGCGGATGATGTACCAGCCACCAATCAAACGAGGCGATTTGCAGCGCGTGTAGCCAATCGCGTTGCGCATGGTGCGAGAGGACGCGAGATGTGTGTTGTGGGCCGGCCGCGAGTTCGATTCCTGGCAAAACATGACATTTGAAGAAAATTGTCGTGTTATTGGCAAGGGATTTCAGTGCACTGGTCAAGTCCAAGAACCGGGAATGTTGATTTTGCAGCTTGAGCCGTCGATGGCGCAGCACGGGATAGCAGCTGGTGTTCGTCGTTGGATCGCCCTGCTCATCGCCGAATCCATCTGTGCGCCCAAACACCATCATTCGACAAAGCCATAATGTTGGTGTTGCAGTCCGATGCACCTCGGCACGGCTGCGGGAGCAGGTCGTCGATACAATCTCTTAGCAGATTTACATTTTACAACTCGCCTACTCATGGATCGATCGACCACAGCGTTCCTCGCGCAGCTTGCGGGCGAAGCCCAGCGCTACGACGAGATGGCAGCCCTCGCGACGCAACTCCTCGCGTTTCCAGCGCCATTGCAAAGCGACGAGTTCGACCTACTCGTCATCGCGTTCAAGAACCTCGTGGGCCCCCTCCGGCTCGCGTGGCGCGTCACCACATCGATTCAAGACTCCAAGACGACGTGGTCGCCAGCGCGCGCTTTGGATCTGGCCAAGTACCGCGCGCAGATCGCCGCCGAGCTCCAGTCGACGTGCGAGGCGTTTCTGTCTCTCCTCCGCGACCGCCTTTTGCCCGAGGCGCCAACCGTCGACGCCAAGGTGGCTTATCTGAAGACCCAAGGCGACTACTACCGGTACATGGCCGAAGTGAATGACAACGATACGACGTGGGCGATGGGAGGCGCGGTGGCCTACAATGACGCATGGAACATTGCGATCGTGGAGCTGACACCGACGAGCCCGACGCGGCTGGGGCTAGCGCTCAACTTTGCCGTGTATCTTCATGACATTGGCAACGCGCGAGACGCGGCCTTGGCGTTTGCACGGAGCGTCTTTAGCGATGCCCTCGACGACCTCGACAGCGTCAGTGACAACAAGGCGTACCAGTTCGCCACCATGATCATGCAAGCGCTTCGCGGCAACATCGAGATCTGGACCGACGATGCCTAGTCATCTTTTGTAGTAATATATATGTGTGAATACGTGACGAAACAAGGAATTTGTGTTAAGAACATGATTTTTGCGTGGGGCAACAACTATATGCTTGCTCATCACTGGTGTCATTCAAGGAATTTGTATTTCGACTTGATAACAAAAAATTTGCGTGGGGCAACAGTCACTGGTGCCATTGAAGCGCGCATGGATGTATGACTCTACCGGTAGAGTGCTTGGGCATTCGGGCAACAGCAACCACCAAACACCGAGCATCCCAGCGGCCTCACCCTCTCACGGATGCACATAAGACAATAGTGTATATAAACGAGAATTAATACACATTGTCTACTTGATAAGGACACTAGTGTTTTTCAATATCTTGATGTTGAACATGAGGCTCTTGACGTCGTTGTAGTCACTGTCGAGCAGATGCAGGTGGTGGTCCGAGCCTTGCGCAACGAGGTAGAGCTGATCCGACCGGCTCGAGCTGCTGCTTTCGGCGCCGTCGCCATGCGCAGACGGCAGCTGACTCATGCCCATCGTCGTATCACTCGCGGGCGGGTGATGCGCGTGCTGCTGGTTCGCATGGGCCTTCTTCTTCAACTCTTTCTCGGGCAACCCAAAGAGACTCAAATGGCTTAGAAAAAACCACTGCAACGTGCAGAGGCGACGGGCCTTGCAGTGAATGACGGGCGAGACCGCATCGATCGCTCCCGGATCAATGCCGACAATATCGTCCATGAGGATCGACGTGCTGTTGTATATCGCTTGGCGCGCCAGGCTGTTTTGGGCGAGGCGGCGCCAAAACGCCAGGTTGCACGTATGGTCGACCAGCACGACGAGCAATATGTTGGAGATGAGGCCGGCGGCGATCGCGCCGGACCCGCGCACGTAAAAGCTCTGCAGAAAGTCCAGCGCGATGCCATCGAGCGACTCGTTGATGTTCTTGATGTCTTCCCGCACGCTGTTGTTGTACTCGATGAACGGCGGGACGTAGAAGAGCAGGATCGCGCTCACATACAGCGACGTGACGCTGCGGAGATTGAGAAAGCCCATGACATGGCTCTGCCCGCAGTACGTAGCGGTCGACACGAGGTGCCAGAGTACTTTGAGGACCTTGAGAAACGCGCAGTTGAGCCAGAGCAAGCGTGTACTCAGTGCAAACAGCTGAAAGCCCATCGACCACTTAAAGCACACTTGGTTGAAGACTTGGACTTCGCGCGTGAAGATGATCGCGTGGTTGATGTCGAGGAGCACGCTGGTCGTAAAGAAGAGCACAAAGATATCGGAGTTGTAGCAAATCATATCGAATCGAATGGCGTGCGAGACGTGCGGATAGTAACGCGGCAGCACCATCTTGACGATTTTGTGTAAGAATGTCTCGGTTATGTTCACGTCGACCTCTTGCCACTGCACCGTCCGTCGGCTCGCAAGGTACCCGCCGATCGCAAACAGCATCGCGATGAACTTGAGGTAGTGCGACGCAGCGCTAAAGGCATTTTGCTGGATCATGAGCCCGAGGCCATGGGCCGAGCCGTCGACGAACGTCGCGTTGACAACCGTAACGCCGCGCTGGTTGGGCAAAACGACAAGGCTGAGATTGCATGTGCCGTGGCCGAGCTCGGCGATCGGGATGCAGCCCGTGCAGTATGCCTTTGGGTAAATGCGGTAGTAGCCAACAAGGAACGTCTGGACACTGGTCACGTTGCTCATGACGGGGATGCGCTGCGTGAGCCGAATGTCGGCTTGGATACGGGCGGGCGCGTAGCCGAGCGCGTTGAGCTGCGCCGAGCTCATGGACGCATTCGCCAGATTGGCCGTCGCATCGTCGGTAAAGATATGGCTAAACGCTTCACCGCGCAGAAACGTGATCGCGTCCTGGGCAACCCCGAGCTGGATGGGACCCGCGCTGGCGTTGGCCGACGGGTACGACCGCTTGAAGATGCTGCAGAGGTTCATCCCGCTGTTGATCGCAAATGTGCCGGCCGAGAGCACGTAGATCTTGTCGTTTCCGGGCAGCACGAGGTTGCTCACGGTGTAGTTGACCATCCATTTCGAGATGCGCGAGAGGTCCGAGATGCTCGCGCCGGTCGCAAAGGCGTATGGGCCCTCAAGCTGGTGCGCAAACTCAATGTCGGCGACCGGCGTCATGTACTGGTACCCGTTCCCGATAAAATCGTTGAACGCCCAGTTGTTGACAATCGCGTCAAATGCGACGAGGACGACCACGGCGAGGCCAGCGCCGAACGACAGCCACTCGATGAGCCAGTAGAGGCGGCCAAGGATCAGGTCGTGCGTCGACGACGACGGCTTCTCCTTGACGACTGCGTACCCGCTGCCCCGGCGCATGCTGCGATCGAAAAATGAGACAGGACGTTTTCAGATCTTAGAATAGACCAAAGCGCTGAGCGGACAGTGTGAGCCAGCGGCGTCACCCATGTAGCTCGAAAATTGGAGTTTGAGTTGCGTCCTTTCTACTATTTTCTTATTGTTTCTGAGTGCACCAAAAACCATGTCTTGAGAGAATCGAAGCCATCAGTGCTCTCGTTGGCCGTGTCCGACGTCGACGATGGCAGCGACCGTATTGCATCCGGGATATGAAACATCGGAATGCAAATGCCGGGTACTTCTGCTTGCTCATGTTGGCATGGGCACCGGTATGTGGTAGGTAGCCACTGAGTCCTCGCAGGGTACTACTCCACACGTCTTCTGCAACGCAAATAATGTACACTGTGGCTACAACATGTAGTATGCCTACTAACAAATGAAGCCAAACGGCACTCACCTAGTAGCTCTAGGAGCGCCAGGCACACGAGCCACAGTTCGCAGGAGTGGCACAAAGGCCGCTAGTCGCTCACCTTACTCATGCTTGATTGCAAAAGCGTGCACACTCGTGTCAATGGATGGATGATCGCGTGGGTGGCAGTACCCACCATTCAGACTCAGTACCGGTAGTTGTACCCTACGAAGAATACGTGGCGCGCTCACATGACTCTTCGTTGCCCATGATCGCCCAAGTGCATCTCATATCAGGTTAACTTTTTACGATTCTGGTTATATATACCCACCATCTTGCGTCCTACACAGTGCGTCGAGCCAAGCGAGGAACTACGAGTACTTGCTATCACTAGCCTACAGACGCCTCTACGTGCTCGCTGCCATCCACGTGACGTCAACGGTGTTTTCGACGCCCATGGCGACCGTCGTGCTCTGGCCCACGGCTCTCGGCCAATCAGCGTGCGCGTATCAGACGCTGGTCTCGGCTGCTGTCACACCGCCTTTCTCGTTGGGCAGCATGACGACGGCAACGCGACCGCGCGGGCTCAAGCTCTCGTTCTTCCGCCACTTTATCGAGGCGCACGGCGGGACGTTTGCGTTCCAAGGCCTCTCGACCGCCGACGTCTGCGTCCAGTACGTCATTCCGTACACTGCCGCGCTGCAGACCTCGGTCGTCGACCACGTGGCGCTCACCGCGCCGTCCTTTGGTGCGGACGCGACGTGGTACGTCTCGCACGCGTGGCAGTACCTCTTCCTCGACACGCTGGCGTCGCTCGAGGCCTTCTTCGCCGCCAAAGACTTGGACGATCCTTCCGTGTGGTTTTGTCTCTTCAACAACAACCAGCACCGGACGGACGACAAGCCGTTCGAGTGGTGGTCGTCGACGTTCCGCGAGTCGCTCGCGGCCATCGGCAACGTCGTCATGGTACTGCACCCGTGGAAGAACCCGCTGACGCTAACGCGCGCGTGGTGTGTCTTTGAGGTCTACGCATCGATCTGCGTCGGCGCCACGTTTGAGCTTGCCCACATGGACCGCGCAGCGTTCTTGCGCGACATGCAGACAAGTCCGGGCACGTTCTTGGAGATGCTCGGCACGATCAGCAGCGAGAAGGCGCAGGCGACGATAGCCTCGGACAAGGCCAGCATCGACCGCGCGATCGTCGACCAAGTCGGGTACACCAAGCTCGACCGAATGGTGCTGACGCTGCTAGAAACATACGTCAAGGACACGTTGCGCGCGCAAGTTGAGATCGCGACCGACGACGCCAACAAGGCGCTTTGGGCTAACGCGCTCGCCGAGACGCACCACGTGCTGAGCGAAATGGCGTTGGCGCGCGACTGGTATACGGTGGCGACCGCCTACGGCACCACCGGGCTCGGCCCTTACCACGAAATGACACTGTCCTCGCGGGGGGCCGCGGCGCTCATGCGCGGTCTCCTCATGGAGCCGAAAGAGGTGTGGGAGCCGGAGCTCCTCGCGACGATCGACGCGGCGACAACGCACCTCGGTGACGAGAGCGAGGCTCTGAGCATGACGCTGCACAGCCTCGGTGTGCTCTACGCCCACCACGGACTCCACGAAGAAGCCGTCCCGATGGCGCAAGCGTGCTACGACCGGCTCGTGCGCACGAAAGGCCTCGACGACCTCGACACGATCACGACGATGGGCCATCTTGGGAACTCGTACAACCGCATCGGCCAAGTGGCGAAGGCTGAAGAGTACCTCCTCCTCGCCTACGAGCGCAAGGTCACTGTGCTCGGCGAAGACCACGCACGGACGTTGGTGTCGCTCCAGCACCTCATGACGCTCTACAACGAGCAAGGCAACGTTGAGCGCGCAATGCCCCTCGCGCTCGCGGCCACCGAGCGTCTCGATCGCGTGCTCGGGTCTTCGCATGAGAACACGGTCATCGCCAACTTTACGTTGGCCGAGCTCCTGCGCAAGCAAGGCCAGTACGCAGAGGCCGAGGCCAAGCTGCTGTCGCTGCTAACCGTGGCCAAGACTGCGTTTGGCGACGACACGATCAACGTTGTCTTCAGTACGACGTACCACCGGACGAATTAGCGCTGATGCCTCCATGTCTAGTTGAGATGCTCCTCGGCATGGTCTATGCCTCGACAACGCAGTGGGACAAGGCGGCCGCGTACTTGGACCATGCTGTAGCGAAGCGACTTGCGTGGTATGGTCCGACGAGCCCCAAGTACGACGTTGTCCTGCTCCGGCAGTACTGGCAGCGACAGCGCGCGGGCCGCTTCGACTCGGTCCACGCGATCGATGCATTCCTCGCAGCGTTGAGCGCGGCCAACATCAAGAACGACGCCTGGGGCTCCATGCGCTGCGTCACGTGCACGGCCAAGATCCACGGCAACCTCTTCTACTGCGGCGCGTGCCCGCCTTTTCTGCGCTACTTTTGCGCCACCTGCGTGGACGCAAGTGCTGCGACGTACTGCGATCACGGCCGCGATGCGTGTGCAAGCTTGGCGCCACCGTCGCAAGCGTTGACCGCCCAACGGCAATTGCTCGTGCCAGTCGCAACGACGTCGGTTGCGCCGCCTCATGTGGCTTTTCCAGCGACCGATGCAGCAGCGGGAAGCGTCCAGGCTCAACCGCTCGCGTCGCCAAAGCCTCGACGCTCGTGGTGGCGCTGTTGCTGATGGTCTGGACGATGTAATACCTCTGTCAATGCCACGGGTGTGAGTGCACTGACACCGTGTCGACGACCGCGTCAACCCAGAGACGATCTTGCCGGCATTCGTTCAGGGTGCAATTGTCCCATAAAGCTAGCCATCTCTACCCTTCGAACATGGCCAACGCCGACGAGGATGCATCTGCACAGGGCTAGGTTGGAACGCGGAATAGGGTTGGATGAGTGAAGTTACAACATCGGGTGCCAGGTGCGCGTTGCGATCGGCGCGTAGCTGGCAAAGGCCGCTTGCTCGTCGACCGGGACCTTGTTGGCAGTGCAGTACGTCTGGTAGTCGCGCCACAAGGTCGCTGTCGCTTGATCCGTCGCACTGGCGACCAGCTTGCTCGAGAAGGTACCGGCGTGGTGGCACGTAGCACTTGAAGCTGCAGGTGGCGTGGTCGCAGAACGTCGTCGACTTGCCTTGACGCAGGCAGTTGGCGCAAAAATGGTAGGCAAAGGCGGGACAAGTGGAACACTCGAACCAAAGCCCTTGCTTGCATCGGCTGGCTGCAGCCAAAGCAGGTTTCGTCTTGCCACACTTCCGTCTCGAGCTCGTTCTTGGCGAAGAAGGCGACGACGACCTTGGCCCACGCCTCGTCACTTGCGGGGTTGTGCGCCGCAAAGGTCGGGTCGAGGAGGAACCGGTAGAACGCCGACGCCCCTTGGCTCGTGTCGGCGTCGCCCGGCGGCAAATGGGCCAGACACCACGCCAAGTTGTCGAGCAAGTACTGCTTCCCGAGGACGTAGTCGCCCTTGGACCAGTAGAGCTGCGCAAGCAGAAAGAGCAAGTGGATGTACTGCCCTGGCGCGGGTGGACTCTTCTGGAACTGGTCCCAGATCGGAAGCCAGAGCGCCTCGGCCGCTGCGTAGTCGCCAAGGAAGCGGTATGTCAAACCGAGGTTGAATGATGCAACCATCTGCTGTTGTGCAATGGGCCATACATGCGCTCCTGCACATCGCTCGTCTCCTCAAACAGCGTCTTGGCCTCGACAAGTTGGCCGCGCTTGAAGCAGATCATTGCGAGGTAGTCGCGCGTGTACACCGTGCTCGGGTGGTC